AAGTATGGAGTCCCCCCTGCTCCTCCCCCCCCACACACACACACACACACACACACACACACACACACACAGTAACTGGTTTCATGACCCAGCAGGAGCAGGAAGGGCAGCTTGACGAGATGGAGCTGGGACAACAGGACGCACCAAACGCAAAGGTCGCTCACTTATCCCTCCTGAGACTGTGGTGGAAGGCGGGAGGGAGGTGAAAACTTGGTGACTAATACTCCCAACCTCCCCCCCGACGCCCCCCACCACATGTATCCTGGCTCTGACAGTCACCGCTGGCCCCTCTCCTCTGGAGAGGGCAATCTGGGTCAATAAGGGTAGGGAGGAGCCCAGCAGTGAGGCCCCAAAGCCAGCGTTCCTTGGCCCAGAAAACAGAAGGGGCTTTGATGGCTGCAGAGAGCAGCAGCTCTTCCCCCCAGGATGCTGTGGCTGCTCTTGGGCAGGGTCCAGGTCCAGAGCAGGCCTCAGTCTGGAGGCCACAGCTGGGAGGTAGTAGGGCTCGTGGCTTAACACTCTGACCTGGAAATCACAGAGAAACCCCAGGTTGCTGTCTTGGACTTGGGCAGAGAACTTAATCTCATTAAGCCTCAGTTCCTGGCCTAGAAGATGGAGGAATAATCTATTAATAATATATAGCATCTGTCTTAAAGGTTGCTGGGGGAGTGAATGAAATCATGTGGAATGCTCCGGAACTTTGCCTGGCTCATACTGGGTGCCCAGAAAATGGGAACTACTCCTACTACCCCTAGGGTTTGCAGAAGGTTTTCTCCAGATCAGCACACTCTGGTCAGCAGCTGTCCCCACCTCCACCCCAAGAGGCCCAGTGGCATGCCTCTCAGCACATAACACCTGTAAAATGTGCCACACAAACAGGCCTGCTGACCAGCCCTTGGCAGGTTTTCTCCGTGTCTTCATGCTAAGATAAAAATCAGATTGAAATGAAAGCCAAGATGGCTCCTGTAGCCCATGCCTTACTGTCAAACCCAAGTCTTTGCCTCTCGAGTTGAGGAGGGGGCATGCCTGAAGGCCTGTCTGCCTGGAAGTACATAATGCCATGGGTTAAATATGGCAACCTTGGGGAAAGGTTAACATTCAAACCAAAGGTAATTTGAACACTGTTTCAATTAAAACAAGCATGCCATAGAATGTAAATTCTCATGACTAAGATGCAGCAATATTTCAGACAGTTTGAACTCTCAGGGGGCATCCTTGTCCCCAGGTGCCTCTGTTTACGCTCCCTTCACTGCAAAGGCCTGGGAAGCTCTTCTTAAGAAGTAAGAGGTGGCTGGAATCTTGGAGTGTCCCTGGTGTCTCCCTGCCTCCGCCCCATTCTTCTGGGAGCTACTCCTTGTCTTTGGAGAAAGTGGCCTACCTGGCTCAGTGCTGGGGCACCATCAAGGGTGGCAGACTTGCACCTGGCAAGGCCAGCAAGAGCCGGGCTGGTTTTCAGTTTCCCATCTGGGGCCCCTGTCAGGGTGAGTGAGGAGGACCAGAACTTGCTTCCTGCCATCTCACTGAGCCTTCACCTTTCCTCACGGAGGACCATTTGGCTAATAGTTGGAATCTGAGCACCCTGAACTGGACAGGACAGGGTGCAGCCAGCACCTAGCAGATGTCCCACCCTGGCTGGCCTTGATGGCCTGGCTTCCTGGGGCTTCTAGCAGGTGGGATCTCCACAAGGGTCACTGGGATTTTCAGTAGGGCCCACTCCCCCTGTCCACTTGTGGTATGCATACAAGTTGAAACCAGCCGTAGTGATCATCTCAGCCTCTCTGGTCATGAGAGTGGCTAAGCATATTCCTTGTGATTTCCTCTACCTTCTTGCAGGTGCCTTGAGCCAAGCTAAGTTTCTTCCTAGAAGGAGCAGGTGAAAAAAGTGCCTGATCATTATGGCACAAGTGGACTTCCAGGACAGGTGGGATAAGGTGTCTCCTCTCTGCAGCTTGACTGAGGAGTCTCCCAGCACCCAGATGTTGAACATGAACTTTGAAAGTGAGGATGAAGATGGCGGGGAGGCAGGAGATAAAAGGGGCAGCTCACCAGTACCTGTCAACAGTCCTGACTTGCCATGGCCACAGCACCCCAACAATGAGGAAGAACAGTCCTCTTGCTCCGTCAGTGCTGGGAACGTGGGGCTGAAACCCATGGAGAAGCCTGGGAAGAAGGCCAGCTGGGGAAAAGATGAGTCAACAGCGGCCACCCTGACCCAGGACTCTGCCAGAGAAAGTGCGTCTCTGGGCCTTCCCAGGGGCCTTGCGCATAAGTTGCCAGGTTGGACGCAACCTCCTGAGGACTCACTACCTGCAGGTGGTGCTAGAAACTCCGAGGCAAACCAGGTGGAAGCCTTGGATGTCCCGTCCAGCTTCCTTGGCCCTGGGAAGTATATCCGTGTGCAGAAAGGTATAGACTCGTCCCCAGACAACTCCCACTCCTCCCTGGCCTGTTTCTCCAGGCCAGAGAGCAGCTGGGACCTCTCACCGCGGGAGATAAGCACACAGGCCAAGAGGTCTGCCTTTGAGGCCAGCCTGACTCCTGCTGTGCTGGAGGAGGCGTGGACCAGCAGGAAAGGCCAGAGGCTGGCAGGCTCTCAGGAGGACCAGCAGGCCCAGGCGCGTTCCTACAGGTCTCCGCGGGGTGGGCGGTCTGGCCAGAAGCCCCGCAAGCTTCAGAGTGCCGAGGCGCCGCTTCCTGGAGGCTCCAAGCCTCACAGGTGCGAGCTGTGCGGGAAGGCCTACTCCCACCGGGGCACGCTCCAGCAGCACAGGCGCCTGCACACGGGCGAGCGACCCTACCGGTGTCCCTTCTGCGACAAGGCCTACACCTGGTCCTCTGACCACCGCAAGCACATCCGTACCCACACTGGGGAGAAACCCTACCCGTGTCCAGACTGCGGGAAGGCCTTCGTGCGCTCCTCCGACCTGCGCAAACACCAGCGCAACATGCATAACAACGACAAGCCGTTCCCCTGTGCCGAGTGCGGCCTGACCTTCAACAAGCCACTGTCGTTGCTGCGCCACCAGCGCACGCATCTGGGCGCCAGGCCGTTCCGCTGCCCGGCCTGCGATCGCGAGTTCGCCGTGGCCAGCCGCATGGTGGAACACCAGCGCGTGCACTCGGGCGAGCGGCCCTACCCCTGCCCCACCTGCGGCAAGCGCTTCAGCAAGTCCTCCAACCTGTCCGAGCACCAGACGCTGCACACCGGCCAGAGGCCCTTCAAATGTGCCGACTGCGGCGTGGCCTTCGCGCAACCCTCGCGCCTGGTGCGCCACCAGCGCATCCACACCGGTGAGAGGCCCTTTGTGTGCGCGCAGTGTGGCCAAGCCTTTGCCCGCTCCTCCACTTTGAAGAGGCACCTACAGATCCACTCCGGGGAAAAGGGCTTCCTCTGTGCCGAGTGCGGCAGGGCCTTCCGCATCGCATCCGAGCTGGCGCAGCACGTCCGAACGCACAACGGGGAGAGGCCCTACCAGTGCGAGGACTGCGGCCAGGCCTTCACCCGGTCCAATCACCTCCAACGACACCAAGCCAAGCACGGCACCTGCAAGAAGGAGCCCACGCCTTCCTCCTCTGACGAATGAGGGCTGCACTGGCTGGCTCTCAGGGGAGGCCAAGACACCAAGGACCTCGCAGCTTGAAACCCTCTACCTGCATTCACGTGGTGTTGCCAGCCAGGCCTCCTTGACAGCCTCCTCCCAGCGGGTCACCGGCTGTGGAGTGATGCATTTAATGTATGTATTTGATCTCTTGTATAGAAAGTAATCCCGAGATTAGCACCCAGTGGTGTTACTTCACACCATCTTTCTTCTGGTCTCAGAAGTTGTATACAATTGGAAAAGGGTAGGGCAGAAAAAAAAAAAAAAGATGGGAGCTGGGCAACAGTTGATTCCCTTGGGTTAGAGGATCTCAATGGATAGGACATTATTTACAGTTACTGTATGGGGATCACTGTGCAGGGCTCCAGAGATACAGTGAGGAGAAAGATCGGCTTTTTCTGCTCTCCAAGCCATATGCAGAGACTACGAAGACAATAATCTGGGGCTGGTCCTCTTCAGAGAAAGGTACTTTTTGTGTTTTATATAAGTGAAGAAGTGATCTCTGTGATGAAACAAAAGCAACAAGGCTCCCTAGGGATAATTCAAGTCTAGCCAGAGTTCCTTGTTTAATTTGCCTGCTTACATGACTTCTCCTTTGAGGAATATCATTATGAGTCTTGGCTTTGGAGTAGAGTAAGCCTTCATCTTAAAAGGTGATGGGGTGTTATGTCCATTTATTCTGAAAGTTAAGAACAGTCTTAGCATCTGAAAAAAGAAGCCTATTACGCTATACAGTGACACTTAGTAACTGACTCTAACCTGAGTCTTACCCATGAAATTCATGCCTCCTCTTTGGCCACCCCTTTTCTGTTCACATCCAGGAGTTTAAGTCAGTGTAACCTTTACCAAGGACTTGACCTATTTCCAGAGAGACATGTGGTATATCTCCAGACAGGCCTAGCCATGGTTTATGAAATTCTCTGAGTTCATGTAAATTTGCCTGGATCATTAGCACCTATTCGAAGTAAATAAAGCATCCTTCACCCAAGTGCTGATAGGCTTGTCTACGTTTCAAAGTCATTAAAACCAGGTGTGAAAGCCTACCTGACACAGCTATTTACTAATGAGGTTATTCACATTTTAATAGCCATTCTTCAAAGTATAATGAAATATATATATTGATTTTCAGAAAGTCAGTAGTTTTTAGCTCTGGACCTCAATCATGAGGAATCTATGACTTCAAAAGTACATGGGAAAGTGGCACTCTTTTTTGGGAGGGGAGGTTTTTTTTTTTTTTTTTGCTATAGGGCGTGTGCGCTCACCAGACAGAAAGAGATAGAAAGCGAGAAATCACCCCCCAGGGGAGATGGCCACGCCGCAATCCCTTCTCCTCCATTCTCCTCTCGGGATCTTGGGCATGCACGCACACGCGCCCGGCATCAGTTTAAGCCACCAGGTCCAGGACTTGAACCGCAACCGACTACGTGGGAGTCCAGTGACATAGCCATTACACAAACTACTGGTCCCAGGAAAGTGGCACTCTTAAATGAAGTTATATAGGATATTCTGCAAGAAGAGATGGTGCTGTCCTTTGTGGAAGTAGTTTTTGTATATTCCATAAATTGCCACCAAAGGGTGCCAAATCTGAATTTCTCTTAGATTCCACCTGATTTGGACCCACAGTGTGACTGCCAAGCAGCATTCTCGTGACACCTGGGGAGCCAAAGAGAAGCTAAATGTTAATAGAGAGAGAGAAGAAGAGGGAGAGAGAGTAGTGCCTTGTTTGACAAAGGTAACCTTAGCAAAAGAGCTTTGGCTACATGCTTTGTGTGTTAACTCCCTTAGGTAACTCCGCATGGCCGAGTGATAATCTTAGGCCATTGCCATCATTTACCAATGATGTGGCCTTGGGTTTCAGCTTCCGCAACTAAACCGGCAAGGCAGAAATGATTACAGGCAATGAAGTCATAATCACAGTCATCCTATGAGATGACAAGAACCTTGGCTGAATGCAAGAGCATTAAATCGGTTGAGAAGTCCGTAAGAATTAACTTGTGACTATGAAAAAAGCAAAGACTTTTATCATTGTTTCCTGGGTTATCAATGAAATATTTGAAGACTGAAGGATTACTCCACATTTTTTAATATATTCTCTTTGGGAAACAATTGTTTCCATAGTTTTAGATATATATTTATAGAATATATATTTATATATATACCTATATCTATATCTATATATAGATATAGATATAGATATAGGTATATATATGTTTATATATAGAGAGAGTCCTTTTTAAAGGAGTTGTTCCCCAAAGCCAAGTCATAGAATGGCTGCCTAGGAATCACTTGGCTTCTTGTCAGACAACTTGCTAAATGCTAAACTTGAATATGGATACGGGCCTGCAGTATCTAGGTGTGGCCTCCACATGGGTGGAGAAAGGGCCCTTTGGAGAAAGGGCCACTGCACTTCCTATTAAGGGCCCTTTGGAGAAAGGGCCACTGTATTTCCTATTAATCAGCAGTAAAACTGGATTCGTTGTGTATGGTATCTTTGGCACTATATACTAATAGTGTGTTTCTGGAATATGATGGGTAGAAGGTACTTGACTAGACCAAAGGTAAGTTCATTAATCCTCCAGGCCTATCTCATAACCAAGTCACATTTTAAGGAAAATTGTGCACATTAGCTGCAAGGGTCATGCTGAGTCGGGGTGTGTGGGGGGAGGAGAGGCAAGTCCATGTCTATAGTCACAGATGACTGGCCCAGACAATGGTGCACAAGTGTAAGGTCACAATGCATGGAGCAGACAAAGGAGGAGTCAACTAGCTGTGAGGTGGCTTAGCACAAATTCTGCCCAATACAGACTTTCCATCCAGAGTGGGGGCATTTCAATCATTGCTTTGGAGGAGAATCAGTTCTTTTTTTTTTTTTAGAGGTTTTTGCTATAGGGCGCGTACGCTCGCCAGACAGACAGAGACAGAGAGACAGAAAGTGAGAAATCACCCCCCAGGGGGAATGGCCACACCGCAATCCCTTCTCCTCCGTTCTCCTCTTGGGATCTTGGGCACGCACGCACACGCACCCGGCGTGAGTTTTAAGCCATTGGATCTGGGACTCGAACTGCGGTTGACTACGTGGGAGTCCAGTGACATAGCCATTACGCTAACTGCTGGTCCCAAGAATCAGTTCTTTTTTTTTTTTTTTTTTGAGGGGTTTTTGCTATAGGGCGCGTACACTTGCCAGACCGACAGAGAGAGACATAGAGACAAGAAGAGAGAAATCACCCCCCAGAGGGGATGGTCACGCCGCAATCCCTTCTCCTCCATTCTCCTCTCAGGATCTTGGGCACGCACACACACGCGCCTGGTGTGAGTTTTAAGCCACCGAGTCCGGGACGCGAACCACGGTCTACTACGTGGGAGTCCAGCGACATAGCCATTACGCTAACTGCTGGTTCCCGCAAGAATCAGTTCTTGAAGACAATTTATTTTGGTTCAGATTGTTACCCCAAGTTACGGTGAGCTACTTTTCTGATTTTCTATAAACACTCTGCACATCCCAACAAGCATCCTTATTTCCCTATTAGGTAATTAAAAATCAGAGCAGGGCCTTCTTTGTGACAGAAGAATTTAAAGCTTGTCTCTGAACTGATGCTGCTTCCACAGTTTAGTTTGCCAAAATTAATGGAGACATATCCAGAAAATGTCTTTTTAAAACTTTCCACTCAATAAAAGTATGTCTAATGTACTCACCAGGGTCTACAGTGATCATGATCCAAAAATCTTTGATAATAATGATGACAGCCAACCCTTACACACTGTCAGTATCTTCCAGAAACAGCTCAAAGTGTTTTACACATAATAACTAATTTTTTTTTAACTTACGGTATTTATTATCCCCATCTTTTGGGATGAGAAAAATCAAGGGACAAAGAAGTTAAATTGCTCAAGGTATCATAGCTAGAAAGTGGCTGTCATAGTAATGATTTGACACACATACTTGCTTACTCCAGAACTCTGTTCATAACTGCAGGATTACCTGCTCTGTTTGGCATGGAAAAGTATCTTGCAATTTTGGTAACACATTTTTTTAAGAGGTTTTTTCCTTAGGGCTAGTGTGCTTGGGGATGGGAGAAAGACAGAAACACTGAGAGGGAAAGTAAGGAATCACTCCCCCTACACACACACCCCAATGAGGGATGGCCACGCCACAAGCCCTTTTCCTCTATTCTCCTTCTGGGATCTTTATTCTCCTTCTGCATGGTTTTCAGGCCGCTGGGTCCAGGACTTGAACTGTGGTTGGCCATGTGGACGTCCAGCAAAGTAACTGCTACACTACCTGCTGGCCCAGGTAACACACATTTTAAAAGTGGATGCCTCTAAGTTAAAAAAAGAGTTAAAAATGTTGAAACACAGCACAGCAGAAACCCTGGCATGACTAAGGGAAGAAGACTGGTGAATTGCTTAATGAGTCTGGAATGTCCTGGATTGGTTGCTATTAAGCATTAATTCCTTAGAAAAACTATCAATAGCCAGGAAGAAGAAATTGGAGCTAAAGGAGTGATGGTTTTTTGAAGGCCTACCGTTGTTTTACCTCACTAAAGAAACATTCTGTGCCTGTGTAATACACAGGAAAATATACCGGCAGTGAATCTTGGCACTCAACATTTTTACAGCACTGTATATATAAATACATGCATATCAGAAAGCTATATTACCCAATATGAACATAATAGATCACCCAGGAGGTCAAACTAGATCTTTAAAAGTCTTGCTTGGAAGAAAATTCTGTGTAAAGCATCAGTTTAATTGCCAGAATACTCAAGCAGATGTCATTGCTAAAGTCAGAACTGGAATATGAACGACAAACTCAATGACCCATGAAAATATTGCCAAAGATGAGATGACTCAATGTTTCATCAAACCAGGAAAGAGTCTCTGTTAGTTGACAGAGAGGCTCATTTTTAACATCAACTGCCCTTTGCCCATTCTGCGTGAAACCATGACAGGATAATTTCTCTCCAGTGCTGGATAATACATATTGATTTATGTCCTCCTTGTTTTCTCCTAACCACACCCACTTACCCTCAATCAAAATGGTTCAGAGTCTCTTACCCTCAATCCTTAGTCACTCAATCCTGGCTCAGTGAATAAATAGAACTTATGTAAAACTAAGTTTTAACTAAGATTTCAAGAAAACCAGACCTCTTGCATAAACAAAGATGTGGAAAAGGCCAAGAACCAGGAAGAACAAAGATGCTATTGTTGTACTTCAGATGAAATCAAAGCCAAGAGGGGATGGAGAACAGATGAGGAGGTGCTGAGAATTTCAGAGGTGGAAGAATAGTAATAGTTGCCGTTCAGTAAATGCTGTTCAGAGTCAGGCACTATATTTTATTATCGCCGTTCATTCTCACAACAACCTGTCATGGAAAACTCTTGAAAGATATTCCCACTTGGGATCTGAATTAATTTTCCTTTCCAACAAAGCAGACAAAATTAACAGACCATGGCTATTGTCTGTTATTGTTAAGCAAGAATCACTAAATCTGTTTCCCTCCTCAGAAATAGGCTGCCTGTCTGCAAAAAAGGAGAACATACAGCGAATCCTAGGCCTTTCACTTTAGAAGTCATACTTGCAGGACCAGCAGGTGGCATGGTAACTAAGGGTGCTGGACTTCAGCATGTCTGACTGTGGTTCAAGTCCTAGACCTGGCAGCTTGCTTTTTCACTTTTTCTCCCTCTCTCTCTCATGCTCTGTCCCTCTCTGGTCAAATTAAAATAAATAAGTAAATAATAAAAATCATTCTTAAAAAATCAGAAGAGGTCATGCTTGCTTATATTTTTATTTTTATGATTGCGGAGGCCCGTGGAGATTAAAAACAATTTGTCCATGAATTATTTGATAGTCCTCCCTTCAAAAAGGGGAGACGATTTCTTTCCCTTTATGTGAACTGGACTTAGTGACTCAGATCTACTGAAGGGAATAAAGTAGAAAAGTGGGTTTAAGGCTTCTGAGGCTAGGTCATAAAAGGTACTG